TACCAAGCTTAGCTTAGTGTGATACATAACCTCTGGAATGGGGTTGAGGAAAATCCAGTAATGCTCAGTTCCACTGCATTAGTAAAATGGTCTTTGTGGTGATTAGCTTTATGACCACCACTCTTAGGCAGGCATAGAAAGAAAGAAAATTGCGTACTTCTTGGAGTGCCAAGGGCTTTCAATTGAAAATATTAAATATTTGATTAAAGATCATAAGAAACTAATTGCAAAACCTTGCTTAACTCTTGTATTAATTGATGTTATCAGATGGCATTTATAGTCTTAGCTAAATATGATTTTGAATGTATATTTAACTGAATTTTTTAAGTCATATTTCCAGAGAAGAATAAATGCTCAAGAGAACTAGAAATCATGCTTGATATATATATATATATATATATATATATATATATATATATAGTACTAGCTAAATAAAATAGTAAAACAGACTTATGATTCTTGAAGCAATACTCATACAACAAAAACAACCATCAATAAATAAAAACAATTATAGCTTAAGGGTCTCCATCCTTATATGTATTTAAAAAAAATATATAAAAAAAGTCACACCAGTCAATAGTTCTAACAGTTTATTTTCAGAAAAATAACATTGTTATACCATTTCAAAATTTCACCAATTGTCTCAACCTATGCTGATGATGAATTAAGAAAGTTGAAAGCTTGGACCATATTTCCAGTACTTTTCTTCTAAAATGAACTGTGGACAATTTCTGATGAAATTTCCTCTTTGTCACTTGGAAAAGTTGATCATTAAATGTCTGTTGTTTTTAATAATATTTGCCTTAAAGAGCATTTGCTGCCTAAATACACAGAATATATATGTGCATGGGTGGGTGTGCACACACACACACACACACACACACACACACACACACACACAGTATAATAAAAGGTATAAAAAGTTTTTAAAAATGTTTAAATTTAATCATGCCAAAATGGTGACTAAATAAGGCACATTTCATTTTTTTTATATACATAATTAAAATTGATTATCATTTTGAATATTTAATATATAAAAGAAAGTAATTTTTATAAAATTTGTAAAATAATTTACAAACTAATCTATTTTTTTTAAAAACCTTTTTTTGTGACTTTTAGATAGGTTCTGTTTGTGTGTGATGGCATGCTTGGTGGCTGAAATAGTTGCACATTTCTATATGTAGACTATAAAAGAAGTGCTGATTCTCACACCTGTGTGTAACTTTGCACTCAAATATGGCTGTAGATTTTAAACTTGTTAACTCTTGTATTAAAATTGATGTTATCAGTCTTAGCTAAATATGATTGTGAATGTATATTATTATTTAACTGAGTAATGTAATAATGTAGTTTAATGTATATCCCTCTGGCTCTATTGTGTGTGTGAGTGACTTACATGTATTTGTGCCATTTAAGGTATACACACACAGAAACACAATTTGACTGAGCTTGAAATAACATATTGGAATAATACATTACCTTTCCACTTAGTTTGGACAACCCCTACCTAGAGCTGAGCAATAAAATCATAAAATTAGAGACATGAAAAGAAAACCTTAACAGCATAATGTCCTTAAAACTCTTTGAATTTAGGTTAAGCTTTTTTAAAAATTAATGGTCATAAAAAATAAATTATGGTGAAACGAAAAGAAAAATGGCATGACTAGTTTCTCAACCAAAATCTGTTAAAAATAAAATAATTATAGGATTTTATTGAACTTTTTGTAAATTATTCAATAAAATTTCGCATTACACATTTTGTATAGATATTTTTGGGTTTGTCATTGAATTAATACATGAACACACATAGTTTTAATGAAATTGAAATGAACATAATGTATATTATTATCTAACTAAAGGCTTATTTTCTTTTTCTCTCTGACAACCACTCCTTGGTAACAAGAAAAGAGTATAAACCAAAATGTGCAGCCTTTGAAGTTAGGTTTATGAATTCTGTATTTAAACTGAATATATTTTCTAATTAATAAATGTAATATTTAAAATGAACAAACAATTTGAGTTTGAAATTTGATCACATTGCTGCACACCTTTTTTTAAAGTGGCAGATACTGGACTAGTATAGATAATAACACCAACTTCAAGATTTTTGCATTGGAGATTTCAAATGATACAAAAATGAATACAAATTCAGTGCATTAGAAAATTTGTTTTAATGGAAACACCAATAATGACACTTTTGAAAGTCTAAGTTATAAAAAGAAGTTCATGAATCCAATTGACCTGTTATGTATTACACCCAGAACCTTGAGATAATATTTTATAAAATTGTTTTAATTATCAATAGTAATGTCAGTTTCATGCTATGAAACTAACATAATAACTTACTCTGACTCTGATACAGAATATGAGTCAAAAAGCTAATGGTTCAACAAAAACAACAAATCCACCCCCAACACATACTATTGGTGTACTTTTGTGCTAATTTTTGTGAATGCCCAATGAATATCAGATTGTCTTGTAGCTGAAAAATACAGACAAGTTGAATTAACCTTGAGATATTTTATGATAGATCCACTTCATAAATTTTACAGTATATTACTTAGTAAATAGAATTAAAAATAAAATTTAGTAAAATAAATGAAGAAAGAAATCAGAATTAAAATTTAGTTCATGTTATAAATCTTTAGTTCATATGTATTGTACTAAAGTCTGAATGAGATGTAAACTGCATAGAAGTTTCTTCATAAACCTTCAAAATGAATTTATTTTTGCCATCTGTATCTAGATCTTGATGAAATGTAGCTTAATATTGTGTAAGGCCAACTGAGGAGAAATAAAGGATTGAAAAATTGTGTTTGGCTAATCTTTCAAATGAAAAGGTGTTGCTTTGGAAATTGGCATTTGTAATACTAATGTTTACTTGGAGTTGAACCCTGAAATACTACTACTTCAGCCACTAAGCAGGCCATCATCTTCATGTATTAATTGATGCAAAAGTTTTTATATATATATATATATATATATATATATATATATATATATATATATATAAATACATACATACATACATACATACATGGCTACAATGTGCTGACTGTGTTCAGAAATTAAAATATTTCTATTGCTATAAAAATGAAATATCCATATTCAGACAAACAAAAAAACATCCTTGATAATGGCCAATAGATTAGCCGAAAGCACTCAGATATACAGATTATTTGGACAGTTCTTACACACGTACACACACACTACGTCCCAAAAAGAAATCACTTGTACAAATGCAAGAAAAATATAATAAAAACCTTAATTGCAGTGCCTTGTCAGTCATCTCTAATGAAACCTGTATAAAAGAGGGATTGCTGTCAAAAGATACAATTTTATTGATTACATATATATATATATATTTACAGTATTGTTTATTTGTAGAAATTCAAATTTATTATTTCACTATGAAAAATATTTTCTTTAATTTTATGTAACCTTTCAGTTAATTGTATATTTCATTATAAAAGAGTGATTCCAGTTTTGATTTAAGGAATTCTTCAAGAAAGTTGTTGCAAATGAAACAAGACAAATTTTGCATGGAGCCAGTCGGATACCACATGGATTTGGGATATGGAAGAATTTAGCATCCCAATTCTGTGATCATTTGCTGCATAATATTAACAAACTAAGTATGGGCATTGTCAGGCAGCATAATCACTGGTCAACTGGCTAAGAAAATGTTATTTCTGCTCTAATACATCAATGAAACAATCTAATGTATTGTTGAAAACTGATATTTGCTGTCTGACATATAGTGCCTAAAGTGGATAATGATCAATTTCAACATATGAAAGGAACTGAGTATGTTTTAAATATCTTCCCAATAACAATTTATTTATATTTTACAGATTTAAATTGTTTTCATATTTGGTAACTTACATTAAAATTAAAAAGAAAAAAAATTGTCTCTGGCATTTTTTGTTGAGGTGTTAGAGACAAAAAAATTTAATTTGACAGGATTTTGTGTTGTTGGACCCACAAAATTCACTTGTTATAGGTAATCTTTGTAAAAGATCGACCAGTTAAACCTATCTGCTACTTATAACATTAATTTCAACAAGATACCATGCAAAAAGAGACATTAAAAACAACTATCCAGAATGGATCATCTAAAAGTAAATGAATAAACATGTGCAAGTTTTGATTTAATTCAAATTATTATAATGAAAAATACAAATAGTTAGGACAAAGTTAGACCAATTCTGAAATAATGAAACCGTCTGATTTAAGACTAAGTATAGCACATATCACTTGGGAAATGTTCCAAAAATGTCAAATGTCTACCTGTCAGCCTTCTGTATGTTGTTTGTGAAGAAATTTCCAAATTCCGTGCTAAAATGTTAGCTTTGCTCAATTGAAATAACAGAAAGTGAACATATTTGACCTTTATCTATTAGAATATGACTATATATATATATATATATATATATATATATATATATAACCAGGCACAATGCAGATGAAACTGGCAGCATTTAATATTTATATGTATAATACATCAATTCATAATGTTGGTTGATACTGTCTTATGTGTATTCCAGTCTGTTTTCCTCTCTCTCTTTCTGTTTTGCAATCTCTATCTAGACAGAATGCTTGTCTGTAGCATATTTTCACTAACTTGATGGTAATTCTTTTCTTCATTCATGTCCTCCCAATCATCAAATGCATATGAAATTTGAATACTAAAAGCTGCAGCTGCTGTCATGTTAATATTTCATTGGCACTGGTTGTGTTCAGTTGGTTGCATTATATAAATATGTTTGTTTTTAAATGTCTAGCAGATCTTGCCAAAATGTTTGTGCCACTCCAGAGTGGAAAACAGTAGTTTTGTGAGTAGAGAATTTTTGAAAGATTTAGGGTTCAACCACTGAGATTCAATTCCAACTATCCATTTTCTTCTTCATATCAGTTTTTTGTTTTGTTTTTGTATATAAATGCAATGTCCTAATGGTCATTTTCTAAAAAAAAACATTTTTCTTTTTCTTAAATGATAGGCAATTTACGACTCCTTGCCTTATACAACAACATCCAGAGATGATGAGAAAAAGCTAGATGTGGTAAGTACTACATACATGCATATATATATAAAATGATGTCTTGTTTACTTCAAGATGTTTTCAAATTTTATTGTTGTTTTTATATACTTTCTGATCATCCCTAACTGTTTTTTCTTTTCCATTTTTTTTGTTAATTATACAAATTTTTCCTTTGGTCCTATTTTCCTGTTTGTCTGAGATGCATGCTTAATAGTGGATGAACCGCCCCCCCCATTTTCTGTCAGTTTGGGGGAAGAATAGAAATATTACCTTTACAACTAATGCTTATCCCGTTGTAGTCAAATGACAAGGTGTCATTTCCACTTCAGGCTTAACATCTCCTATTGATCTTCAGTTGATATCAAAGGAGATGGGCTTCAAGATTGGAGCGGTGGTTGCATCTGCTTGCACCTGATGCAACTGCAATGTGATGCAGAGCCAACAAAGCCTGGAGGTGCCCTAGATTATTGGTAATGATGCTGTGTTCCTCAAACCATAACTGAACCCAGGAATGTGATCTGATGATGACTTTGTTGGAGGCACTGTTGTTGTTGTTGCAATTGCCTTATGAATTTATATTAATGACAGGATTTCATGACTGGTCGGTTTTGGAATGGTTTGTGTTAAACTTAGTAAATGTATTTTTCTTTTTAATGTATGCTTTTTGGTTTCTAGATGTATTTAAAGTTTGTAATTGTTTTTCTTTATTTTGCAACCCAACCTGTTCCAAGTAAGATTGCCTGCCATGATTTATTTTTCTCAGAACTGGAATAAGCATGAGTTATTTTTATATTAAGAGTCTGGCAATTATCCCTTTGAGTTTTGTGTATTTCACTCTTGGGTTTGTTTCTAGCTATAAGAGAAATGAATATTCTTTGTTATCACATAATCGCTTTGCAATTAAAGCATTGGATTGGAGGCTTTTTTGGCAGTATTCAGTCTCTCATGACTTTGCAACAAAGTGGAAAACCTGATTTTAAAATTAATGAAAAGTGGAACACTTTAGTTATAATAGCATTCAACCAGTTTCAACAAATTACTAGCAATATTTTTATAAGTTTGCATGCTTAAAAATGAAAAGGAATTGGTATTATAGGATTATATTATTATATAATATAATCTCCTTATACCAATTAATTATTTATTACAATTAAGACAATGCTATTTTATTAAAATCTCAGAACAAGAGCAGTAACTGTAACAATAACTCAATTATAACAAATAAATCTCAGCATGCAAATCTCGTTGGCTTATCATGAGTTTATAATGTAAAGCATAAGGGCTCATTTGTTTCTTTCATGACCTCTTGTTCTGTCATTGGTATTTTTTTATATTGCAATTAACAAACTTCATCTACCAAGAATCTTTTACATGAAAGATGTAGTCAAAAATGTAGTACATAAAAAAGAAATATAGGGCTAAAAATTTGGACATTTTTTTTTCTGTCTGAATAATAAAGATTCAGTTTTACTTTTTCATTTATCTTAATTTTATTTATGTTTTCCTTCTTATATAATTTTGTATATGTGATAAGTATATCTTTCTATCATTAATTGAATGACAAAATGGAAAAAAAATTGTTATGTTTTGCATTTCATCCTTTGAAAGGACTTCTTCAGATTAATAATAGTTTTATTGCTGGAGTTTTAATTTATATAATGGGAGGAGGGGAAGAAATGCAATAAATATTAGTTACAATTTTATATTGGGAAATGCTGAAGATACAAGTATGCTGATCTTTAAATTTAAATTTTTAAGTTTTTGGTGTCCAATGTATTCAAATGAATAACCTTGCTGACTTCATTCAGCTTTTTATCATTTTCATTTTTATTTTTATTGCTATTCTTTTTAAATGCTTCAAATAGTAATAGCAATAAGAAAAAGTTAGAAAAGGAGATATATTATACTGAATGTAAATTTAAGCCTAGCATAGGAGTTTTTTTCATTTTGTTATGCACTTACCTGCTATTAGTCTGATAAATAGATTTGTATATCATATTTTACCTATCTTTATATGTACATATTGTACAATGTTAAATGACTAACCTACTGGTTGTATCCAACCCAATTCACATCAATGACATGGATTGGCCCGATAAACTATTCACCAGGTGATTACTAAATTGTTATGTACTGGTATCTAGAGTAAAAACAAATTTTCTTTTATTTAAGCAATTGATTTGGTGTAAATAAAAGTTTATAATAAACTATTTTTTATTCTTGGTCCAGATGCACACAATCCAAACCATAGTTTCTATAAAGTGGCTTAATGACATTCAATGAACTTAATATACTTTATCACATGTTTTCCTAACTTAATCAACCAAATCAACTTAATTACTTAATCATATTCTTTTGGTAGAAATATTTTAATCTAAATGTTTTTAAATATTTCCTAAACTGTTTTATAACAGAATTTACCTCTTTTTTTTATTAGCAGTATAAAGAACATGTAAAATAATTTGTAATTTCTTTAAATTTCCTAATCTTAAACTCTTAAATTAAGTGATCTTAAATGTCACATATCTCCACACATATAGTACTGACAGTCAATTGCCTGATCAGTTGCTAAAAATATAAAGTATTAGTTAGTGTCTTGCAAAGTTTGGACGCCCCCTCCCCCAAAATGTATATATATATTTTTTTTATTCAATTTAAAATATTTCATTATTTTATTGTGTGCAAAAACAGGTTTAACGTTGGTGACTTCAGTAATTAAGAATTTTAATTTGAGCTTGATAATGAGCGGTCTCTCTTAAGGTTGTTGATCGATTTAATTCTGTAAAGAAGAATGAGTTGACTAACTCATCTATTCTCATTTCTGTCATACTAGTGACAAACTTGATCTAGATATTTTGTAAAGTAACTACAGGAGTAGTGAAATCCTGCCTTTTGCAAGTGTATTACTGAATAGTAAGTGAACTTAAACTACCTTGGCCTGAGTTTGAACTTGGTTCGTACTGATAACTTACACCATTTTGCATCTCTTGATAATGACAAGAATAACAAAGCCTGTTTTAATTTTAATTATGTGATGAGTTAGTATAATCATTTATAGAGCATCTTAATATTCTAATTTTAATATATTTATTGCCAATTAGTGTTTTTTGGTGTTTATTAAATATTTATCCGTCATAAAAAGGAGTTTGGAATCATTTCTAATGTTGTTTCAAGTAAATCAAATAATTTTTGTATTTTTATTTTTTTTTTTCTCAGATTGCTGACAGGTTAAGAGAACGTTTTGATAATTACATAAAAGTTCTGGGGACCAACAAAATCACTGTGGAGCATCTTTACAAATTCCATGTGAAACAACCTGTCACTAGAAGATTGAACTGTTGCAATTTACCCTTTAATGAATTAATGTAAGTAAAACATTTGAACCTCTCTTTTCTTAATAATATGCAAATTGTTCTGAAAACAGTGGTTCTTGACCTTTTTTTCCCTATCCACTCTTTTCACCATATGTCAGAATATTATCCCACTCCTTTCTAAGATTGTCCAATTCAAAAGGTGCATTCCAAATAATATGCATATATTACTGAAAATTTGAATTCTTTTTCATATTAGTACATTTAGATGGATTATTTTTATAGAGGTGTTTTACAAATTTAATAGCAATAGAAAATGTTGGAGTTTTAAACTTGAATGCATGTACAGTAATTTGTTTTAATTCATAACTAATTATTAAGTAAATAAACTGAAGCATACTTCAATAAACAAAATATTTGATAGAATGCCAGGGTATTATAATTCCATAAACAAAAAGTTCAATAAAAGCTCAAGGTGAATCCATATTGAATATAAGATTCATCATAGCATCTTTTTTTTTATTTTTATTTTTATTTTTTTTGACACTTATAATGGGCGCCAAATTCTGTAAATAAAAAAACAAGAAATAATTAAAGATCCTTCTGAAATCTCCCCTGTGAAGACATTCTCATGTAGTTGAAAACACCTGCTCAAATAGTTTTCTTTGTACTAACTTAAAATCACAAATATTTTTAGAATATATATTTTATATTTGATGATTGACTTCAACTTGATCTGATGTTTTCTAATAAACTTTTTTTATACTATTATATGACTGAGATGTGTATTCTTCATCAGTGCCAGAGATTGGTATTTAAGTCACAGCAAGACTAAAAGCTAAGATTTCAAATACTGATTTTCAGACAGGTACTTGGAAGTTTGCTGCAACATAATCTTCATTTACTAATTTCTACTTAGCTTTATACCATACTAACCTCAGCTTTGAGTGAGAAAAATAATTCTGACTGAATTGACTTTGAAATTAGAGCAGTGATCTGGCCCTCGAGCAGATATAAGGTTATTAGGACTTGTTATCACATTATAAGCTTATTATTGTTCTCACACTCAATAAAGTCCTTATAAAATCTATAATACCCATGTGATATAAATAACATTTGAGAGAGTTTATCAAAAGGTGGTTTCAAATAGTTTGCATTTTCAAAATTTCTTTTGTTTGCATAAAATGAGAGTATCTTTAAAATCGCCATAATGTGATACTCCTTGTTTTGTTTACAGGATTTTCCCAATATTTGCCATAGAGTTCATATAATAATATAATTTATCAAAGAAAAGATTAAATTGAGTGCATCTGTGTAAGCCATGATAAACAAGCATGTTCAAGATGTAAAAAGGCTGGGAATGTGAGTGGCTAAGTTGAGAAAAGAACAAGGAGGGTGCTCTTTTTCAATTACTTGGAAATTAAGGAAAAGAACAGTATAGATTTTTGATTTCTCGGAAATGAGATAGTCATAATTAGCCAAGAGTTAGCCATGTCCAAGAATAAATGTCAGTACTTTTCAGTACTGTTGTTGAAATAAATATTGGCTACGATGTGTATCTGCACTTGCTAATCAACAAATTACACAGCACTTATTTTGATTAACTGCATTACTTAGAATGATTACTTCGGTACTTATTTGGGGATAATTTAAGTGACATATGGCTATAAAAATAACTTTATTATTTACAGTTAAATTGTTTAAATAATGCATTGACTATTGTTTGTGTCATATGACAATAACTGTAAGTAAAATGATGCAGTAAAATAACTAACCAAGTAATCATTTTAACTCCTTTGAATATCAGTGCCTATATATATATATATATATATATATATATATAAAAACTATGACTTCTTTATAGGTGAATGCCAATTCTTCATTCAGGGTTGAGCTGAGCAGCCATAGGCTCACAGATAACTTTGCAAGACATCCTCACTCCTGCATACCTGATTACATATGTGACACATGAAAGACTTTTGGAGAATCCTGAAAGTGATTTTCTCTTCACACATCAGCCTGCTGCTTCAGCCTTGCAGGAGACGTGCAAAGTGCATTGCAAGTCTGTCAGGAAGGACATTCACATAGTCGGCATTAGACTGCTGATTTTCACATGAACTTAGATGACTAGCAAGTCTGACACAAGAGAGGACAACCTTCCCACAGATGTTACATACACGTTCAAACTGAATATCCTCAGGGACTGAGTCTATATCACCCTAGCTAAGAGCTTTTCTCAATTTCCACTGCTCAATCCTTTTGACCCCAAAGCAATTGTAGCCATCAAAATTCAGCTTTCTCCAGACAGACCTATTCTCTGCTGCTTTTCCCCAGTTTTTGACACTAATTTCAAGAGTTTCCAGGTTGTCTTTGACAGCATCCTTGAAACATTTTTTGTGTTTGTGTCTGGGGCACTTATCAAGAATGACCTCCCCATAAAACCTCATATACACACACACACACACGCACATGTATATATACATATATATTATGTTCTTTTAACCTATAAGATCTCCATTTTTTTTTATATGTAAGGAGCTAATTGTACTAAGTAGTGGGGTTACATTTTGGCTCCTGTGCTGGATAGTTTATTCCTGATATTGCTTCAAACATTATTTAAAATAAATCCACATACATGAAGTTTGCTGAAAAGTTCTTAGCCTGACCAAGAAACCTAACCACCCCCACCCCCTCCCATATACCTCACCCCATGGTAGTAATCTGATATTTGATCACATCTTAGGGAGTGAGTGGATTGGCTGAAAAGTTTTACCACACCCTTGTGTTATATATTTATATGGTGCTGCAGAAATACCTCACACATAATGGTAAGACATTAGCAGCAATGATGCCTTCATCTAGCTAAATTTTTTTCATTATGTGGGTAATGTTTCTGCTGCACCCTGTGTGTTATATATATATATATATGTGTGTGTGTGTGTGTATTTTATATATATATATATATATAGCATTTAAAGACATTGAGCCACATTATGTGTGTGTGTGTGTGTGTATATATATATATATATATATATATATACATACACACGCACACACAGTTTCTTTGTATAAAAATATGTGCTCCCAATCTTTCCACTAATTCAGTGTTATACTTAAGGTGTAATAAAACAAAGGGGCATTTATTTATTTCCTTTTCTCTTGTTGTTTGAATATTTTCTTCTTTCTTAATTTTTTATATCCCACCCAATTCCTCTTTATTCTCTACTCTTTGTTGTTGCACTTGGATAAACTTAAAGGCCATAAACAAATCTTTAGGCTGAGTCAGGCCTGGGCTTGCTAATGAAAATCTGAAAAAATGAGGAGCTGCTAATAAGGCATAGCAGTTATAGCTGCTTGTAATAATATTTCTTATTGATTAAAATTCCTTTTATCTGGCAATTGACATGTGATTTATGTTGATGCAATCTCTCTTAACTAAATCAATTTGCTCTTTCTTTCCACTTTTTGTATTTGTTTTTTAATTCCACATAATTATAACTACCTTCACCTGCACAATGATAATTATTATATCACCTGCAAAGATTATGAAATTCCCCCCCCCTCCAACAATTAAAAAAAAGAAGGTTTTTGACAGCTTAAAAATCAAACTTATATATATCTATTGTAAGCAGTAGTTAGTTTTCATTCCCACAATTTGTATTTCACAGTTGATAACAACAAGTCTTTAACAAGAATTGTATTTTTCTTGAATGTCCATGTCACTTTTGGATGTAGACAATTATAGCTCTCAACAGATTCTTTTTTTTTTTTTTTTATTTGTGAATTACCATGAATTCTTGGGAATGATAGTGGAATAGTTTCCCATTGCCTTCTCCAGTTTTGAATTTAAAGCTGTCCTTCTCCAAGAAGCCTAACTGCCACCGAGGGCTAGAGAAACCAGTCTATCTTGCTATTTAACTCATAGCTGGGTGATGGAAGAGATGGATTCATGCCTTTCCCAGAGACATTAATGTGAAAGCAAAAGCAACAGGGTAGGCTTGAGTTGTATATGTATTTTAATGTTTCTTTCCTTGTGTCTGTATTTTAACAAACTAAACAATAAAGATAAAGAAATCAGTCGGAATCAATCACACACAATAAGTCAAGCACCTCATCTGGCAAAATTCAGCCAGATCTTATCTATTTGTTTTGACTTTTTCTTTCAAATGTCTTATAGTAGATTCTTTACTAAATTATTCTACATATAATTTATAGTAAAATGAAAATGTATGCTCATTAGATTATTTAATGGGCTAAAAATGTATAAATCTCTCCACTGGACAAAAGAATACCCAATGACTCACCAAGCAGAACTCTCATCCTGTCACTTTTACTGGGTTTACTACTAAACAGCCAACCATAGTATTTCTCTTAGAGGATGATGCTAATAGAGAAAATCAAGTTTGAACTAAAATATTACTTAAAAGTAAGGTGGCCCATGGTCAGAAACATCAAGTAGAGAGTAATTTAAACTAAGCTTAGAGACATTTTCTGTATAACTTCTTATTGAACTCTCATGCTGATTAGTAGTAAGAATTCTTGCTTATTTGTAGGTTTGTTGTTCTCTCCTTAGCCATAATGCACTCATGAGAAGGTAATTTTTAATTTCAGATCAAACACTAAAGATAGCTTCCCTCAAGTAATGATGAACTAATGGTCAAGAAAAATGTTCTCAAATAGAAGAGCCAGTCAGTACATTATAATATAAATTGCTCTTAATGAACCTCCTGAAGGATGACCAGTGCTTTTTAGATGGAATTAATGGTTAAGCCATAAACTTACTGCACTGATCTGATCCTTGTATTACATTATTCAACTTAAATAACCAAATTTAATAACATAAACTATTGAACTTTGAAAAGATACAGTGTATGAATTAAATAAAAAAGAAATTTTTTTTATATTTGTTTTTCTCATTTTCTAGTCTGTGTTTTTGAAGAATCTATTAATTTTATTGTAGAAAGACTACATTAATCTTTGCATCATAGTTTTTTAAAAAGATATCCACAGTATAATATTATCTGAACATACACTCGTGTACATTTTTTACCAACCAATTTTGAATTTTCTTCTGACTATTTCATTCTTTCTATTAACTGATAAAGTGCCGTTAAAATGAAATTATAATCAAATAAATCTTTGAATAGAATTTTAAATTAATAAAATTAGATTTATGGCAAAAGCCCAAAAATTTGTTGGGGAGAGGGAAGCAAGCAGAGAAAACTTTTGAAAAATGTTTTCTTTTTCTTTTCTTTTTTAATACATAAAAAGACATTTATTAATCCATCTTGTGTTATCTAATGGCTTTCCTTCTGCAAGTAATCTCTTACCTCCACCACATAGATTATTGATCTGGCATAACATCTTCCCTTTGATGTTTGCCGCTGCTTGCTGTGTGCATTTAACTTGCTGCAATGTCAAGTTACTAACAGATCTTGGGCATTCTTATCTCTCCCAACTCCTCATTCTGTGTTATTTTTTTTTTTTATTTTGCCTCAAGGAATCAGTCTTTATCAAATGAGCAAGCTGCTTTGCTCTGTGGAAACAACCTTCATTAATTATTATTTGTTAACTGAAAAATATCACTCAAACTGCACTTTTTTTTCTGTTAAAGAATAAATGTATTTTTATGAAGATATTTGCAGGAATATTAAGATAATTAAAAACATCATACTGATCATTTTTTTACTTTAAGTATTATTCATAATCAATTGAGAATAAAAAAAAATTAGTTTAAATTTTATCAGCCTTTTTGCTTAAGAGAAGGATCATTAGCCAAGTTTTCTGATTCATTAATTAATACAAGTATCTTATCAAACTACTGATAACAAACAAGTGAAGCATGCCACAATACTATTAAAATACTTTTCTCTGTTTTAAAATAACATCAGGCTAGTTAGTAATCACTATAGATCCATATTCCTTGAGAAAACATATTGTGACAATGTGAATTACATTAAAAAGACCTTTTGTGTGGTATTTTCTACAGACCTCAATCCCAATATCGATGCAAGATCTCCATCAGAAACAGCTGTGATCTTTTGCCTCCAAACCTTCCACATGGAGCTTTTAATCCCGGAAGAAACCTCACTGATGGTAAGTTGCTTATTACTTACTAATTCTAATTAACACAGACCCTCTTGCTTCTTGTTTTCTCTGTATTTGAACCTTTTTCTTACCTTACTTAATTCACTTCTTGCTTCACTTCATTTCTATTGACTTTTTAATTTTTCCTTCCAAACTTTGTCTTATATCTTTTTGTTGCTCTCTTGGAATAAATTCATGTTTTCCATATTAACTTGAGCTAATATCTTCCTTTTCATGTTAATCTACAATCATTGTAAAAGGTAATTTTGTAAAACAAAATATCTATTAGTTCACCCATTCTATAAAAAAAGCAGTTTGAATATATATTTGTTCCAATTATGTTGTAGTCTGCACTTGACAATGACAGTCATTTTACCTTCTGACTTCATAAACATCTTGCGACAATTCTACCATTGTCATAAGAATGACACTGTCACCTGCTGTTGCCAGTACAAATGTGTGTGTGTGTGTACAAATATGTGTGTATATATATATATATATATATATATATATATATAAAACCTCCAGCAATATTTTTAGTGGATACTCATATTTAAGTAGACACTTTGTTCATTTTAAACAGTATTTATTTTGTCCACCAGTTTGCGTACTCAAGATAACTTATAAAGAAAATGTATCCTCCTGCAGTTTTGGATCTGTATCCTCTCTTGCTGGAGGTACCACTGTCTGATCCAGCATGCTTTTATCACTCAGCTACAAAGAGTGTCACAATAAACCAAGGTTCAATTTTGCCTTTAAAGCACATTCACATGTTCAGATTTTTCCCAAAACATGTATCTGCTCAATTTTGTCTCTGAAATATAAAGAACTCAATTTCTAAAGAATTAATAGATTTTATATTTTTTATAACCCAACATATTTTAATTATTTTTTAGTGGGTACCCATATTTGAGCTGACAATTTATTTTAAATAGTATTAATTTTGTATAAGATAAAAGGTAGGAGAAAAGGAAATGTCTATTAATGTTTGTCTGCATCTAATTTCAAATAACTCTGACAAAGCAGTGCTAGCCTTTGGAATGACAGAACTCAACTGAGAACATTTTTGCAGGACCCCAGCCACTCACTTAGAAGGTGTTATATTTACATATGTCTTTTTAGCTTTTTAAGAAAAATAAATGTTTATGTTCTTCCATAATTAACATAAAACAAATCAAACTATAATAAAAGATTTCTGACCTTTTTAAGAACTCATAAAAAAATTAAAAATTTTTGTTCTCTGTAAAACTAGCAGTGTGGTGTTGGGTGTATGTTGCAATGTGATGTTGTGTGTATTTGACAAGATGAGAAGACATTATCCTAGACAACACCTCTCAGGAGCTGAATTCAATTGAAAGCAATGGATCCAATTGGGTTTTAAGCTGGCCCTGCTGACAAGAGATTAGTTTTGTAAATAGTGTAATGTTCATTATCATTTCTATATTTTACATTCTTTTCAATATATTTTTTGGGGAGTTAAAAAAAACAAAAAAAAACAACCAATTTCCATTTACTGATCAGGTGACTTTGAAAATTTAGTTTTTTTTTTTTTTTTTTTTTTTTGTCTGCTTCACCCTATCAATTAATGGATGAATACTAAAGTGATCATTACTTAAGTTAAATGATCTACTAAGAAAAAAAAATTGGGAGGTGGGTAATTTTTGTAGATTAGCATTCATTAAACTTTTCTCTAAACATGACATTTGTCAGAATCAAAAAATATTTTAGGTGATGGCTGCTACTCATAATATGAATACATTGTCAAATTGAACCCCGAATTCTTAAAGAGTTATCTGCACCTTGTTTTTATTTACAAATATCAACTTTGAAACTGTTGATGATGTATTTCCCCCAATTTGTAATAGGAAGGTAGGATGAATGCTAATCTACAAAAATTATCTTCCCCATCTTCCCCCCTCCCTTTTTTTTTTGTAACGAGCGGATCAATCAATTTAAGTAGTGCTCAGAAGAAGAGAGTTTATTAATTGTGACCTTATGTCAAACTAACATAACCTAGTCACTATCGGTTGGGCTTAAGATTTCTCCATAGAAGAAAAGTGACTTTATTTTAAAAAAAAATATTTGGTAGAAAACACTTGAAAATGCTCCCTTGCTCTGGTTTCATTTTGAATTTTAACTTATTTTACCCTTCCATTTCAGCATGAAAAATAACAAAGTACTATTTCCTCTGTTTCAGTTATGATCTTTGGGTCACCTTCATGGATTTTAAAACTAAATGATTCATAAAACTTTTTACCCTGGAAACGAGTTTTGTTTTTAATTACCTTGAAGTTTTAACATCTTAAGTACAAGTTACCCCCCCCCCCAAACCCATAAACTTGTAAATCATTGAAATGACTAATAAAAGGATAGGAAATAAAAAGATCAGTCTGAAAATTGCTTTTTTTTTTTTTTGTTCTTTTGGGTCAGAACTGGCAGGTATCGGCACGACCTTGATGTTTCCTGGACTTTTTAGTGGTTCAACCTAAGGATATGCCGCCTTGGTTTGAAGGTACATTCAAGAAAGATAGGCCAACTCCCAGAAGTCATCCATAACTCATTTTCAACTGCGGAGACCAACGACCTGAGTAGGACCTGTAATAAAAAATCCCATTCTGTGATAAGGAAGTTTGATAGGCTTTTTCTTTTAATGGGGGCTAGCTGGAGGTCACATTCACAGCTAATGGACAAACTCAATGGGCTATGTAGCTTAAGGGTTAACTGAGCTACCTTTAACTGCTTTCCGTTTCAAAACACCCACTTCCCCGACACATAAGTATCCCTTCAGTCCTAGTTCTAAAGAGGAGAGGGCAGTATAGAAGTAATAGTGTTTATTTTTTATACTTACAGCGTTCTTCTAACTAGCTAACGTTTCTCTCGATACAAAGCTACGAACTTCATTTTCTTTATTCTCTTCTTCTTGTTTTGCTTATTTTCTTTTTTCTCTTTTCCTTTCTTTTCTCTGTTTTAATCTTTCATTCCTCACCACAATTGCTTTTCGTTTTCTCTTCGTCTCGTTTTATTTCCCCCTCCTCTTTATATTTTTTCTTTCCTGAGAATCTTGTATTTCAACTCAGTGGACTTATCTCTCAGATATTTCCGAATTAACATTTATGCATTAATTCCATCCGCTAAACTAACTAACTATATATATATATATGGGGGTTTATTAAGATATATCTTCAAAGAAAAGTCAGTCTTTTTACATTTCCTCTTTTCAAGCTATTACTGACTTTAAAGCAAACCTTTTTTTCATAGTAAGAAGCCAGGATCAAGCCTAAGGAGAAGGGGGTTGTGTAATCAGATCATTTTCAAATTTATTATTTTCTTGCTTATCTTATTTTTAGTTTTAATTTTATCCTCCTTAAAACACAACTCTACAGAACTTGAAAAAAAGTCTTTCTTTTTTTTTATTCTTATGAATTACACCAGTGTACTGTATTTAGTTTATTTATCTTAGTGTGTTTTGATATTTTTTTCTTCTGCCCTCATCTACTTGTTGTGAGGATATCCACACGAGTGATTCATTTACTTTACTGCTTTTAAGAAATAACATTTTGAGCAATTAATTTAGTTTATTTATTCGGCTCTTTGATGTTGCAAACGTTTTCAGAATTAATTGGAACTGAAAGAAAGAAAAAGAGAGAAAAAAAAAAGAAAGAAAAGAAATGTAGACTCTCCTCCAAGTTGTTTTCTTACTCATACATACTCATATTTGAAGTCAGACTTAAAGAAACAAACAACTTTATCTTGAGAAAGTTGGCTTTCTTTAATCACTTTTCATATCCTGACTTCAAAACTGACCAGTTTCATCTTTTAAGAAACTAGATATTTTTGGTTCTTTTTAGTCTGGTTTTGTTTGTATACCAAGTATTACTTTTTATTCTGAAGTTTGTTGGGATATATATGCATATTAATTATTAATTCCCTGATTTTGACTAATAATATTTTAGTTAAAAATAACTAGTGATGGACTTTGGTAAAAGCGTAATGGTGTTTGTGTAAGACCTGCAGTGTTTGTAAATTATGCATTGTTACATATTTTTTTTTTTTTTTTTTTTTTTTTTTTTAGGTATATAATTTATTTTATACTTGCTCACTAAGGACTTGAACTTAGTCTTCTTATGGTTTGTTACCAGCAAATGTTTCACTTACTTGTCTTCATTTATTCAATATAAATTAGGTTTACAACATAAATACTTCATATTTATCACTATATAAGGCAGAGTTTCATCTCTAAAAGTTTTACTTAAAAAATCACCTACGACATAGGATGGATTTTAAAAGTTTAGAAGGTTAAAAAAGTGACATGCCTAAAATACTCTTCAGAAAGTAGTTTATATCATTTGAATTAAAATAGGTTAGTTAAAATATTACTATTAACTTTACAAACGTTTTACTTTTAAAAAAATCTTGTGAAAATATTATAACTGGCTACTCATTTTTGAGGACAGCTAGTCAATCTGTTGCAAAAGCCTGCATAGGCATGTGTGTTTCTTGAACACCTGCAAAGTCCGCCTGTAGTTTATACTGCAACTATTCTGAGCAGACTGTAATTACAATTTCTGGGAGAGAGTGCATAATCTGGCATGATCAACAGTTTGAACAAAGCAGGTTGGTCTTGAGACTTTATGCTAGTACAGGCAGAATAGAACATCCAATTTCACTTACAATGATCGGTCAATCCCTGCTATGGTTTTCAAGTACTTTCCAACAGTGTCTCATACTATCAAGAATTTATACCATGCCAATAATATCAAGAATTTGTCTCCCTGACAAATCAACCAGGGTGAGATGTTAGGATCCCATCTGTAGAGAGTGCAATTGTAACAGTTAAGAATATTACTGATGCAAAATCTATGTCTTGTTAATACTGATATTTATTGTTAAAATGCTAACATCAGGAAATTGTTTTTATCTATATTTGACTGTTCAAAAAGGAAATTGATTAAGCACTTAGAAAGTGCGTAACTGTATCTGTCTCTTATTAGAACTAGGATATGAACCTT